TGTTCTTTAAAGAAAATGTATGTTTAAAAGATATGGTGTTAATTTTCTTCTGTTTTAACTTTATAAAAACTGAATTATAACAAATTCCATTTTCAGGTACTTGATTTTTCGTCATTGAACATTTTATTTCAAAGACTTCAGCATGCTCCCATTGTGAAACTCTGTTAAGACATGAAATAGCAGACATCTCTTGTAGACTTGTTTCACACTTTGAGAAACTACGAAACTGTTTTCCAAATTGCTGCCTTAATTCCAGACAATAAGAGATCAATTTATGTGGCTATAGTGAAGGACATTGACTATAACTTTTGACTTTTGCAATAATTGTATACAGGTTTATTTTATCACCAAAGTGATAGAAATAGAAGACAGAAGAATATCAAATAATTCACAGACTAATGCCTATGTAGAGGTCTACAAAGGATGTTCTCTGGATACAATAAGCAGATGTACATATAATTATTCCTTAAGAAATTCAATGTAAATTACTTAAACGAATATGAGATTCATAAAAGTGTCTGTTATATATGCAATTGCATGCAAAATTTTTCCAGTTCTGTGATTGTATCACTTAGTGTTTGCTGCATAACAACTATGCCAAATTTCAGTAACTTGAAAAAATAAGTATTTTCTATTGTTTATGAGTCTGTCGGTCAGCTGATAATCCCTCCTCTTGGCTCTTGCATATTTCTATGTTCTACTGTAGGTCGCATAAGCAACTTTGCTGAATTCTCGAATATCCAGGCCCTCAGATAGGTCAACTAGTCTCCCCTCCAAATGAGCTGTTATCATCCAGCAAGATATTCTGGGCTTGTTTTTCCACTGGAAAGTTCTGAGAGAAAGTGGAAATATGCAAAGCTTCCTGAGCTCTAGTTGCACTACCAGCGTATGTTTACTTCTGCTGCAAATTAATGACCAAGCCCAATAGAGATTTATGTGATATGGAACTAGACACTTTCACTGAGAGATGTTATGAAATCTAATTGCAAAAGATTTGGATACAGAGAAGAGTTAAGAATTATGACTCTTTTTATAATCTCTACAATTTTTTTTTAAAGATTGGCACCTGAGCTAACAACTGTTGCCAATCTTTTTTTTTTTTTCTTCTTTTTCTCCCCCAAATCCCCTCAGTACATAGTTGTATAATTTTTAGTTGTGGGTCCTTCTAGTTTTGGCATGTGGGAAGCTGCCTCACCGTGGCCTAACAAGCAGTGCCATGTCCGCGCCCAGGATCCAAACCAGCGAAACCCTGGGCCGCCGAAGCGGAGCAGGAGAACTTAACCACTCTGTCACGGGGCTGGCCCCACTACAATGGTTTTGCAAGATGTGATTTCTCCCTATCTCTGTCATCCTAAGCTTACTCTGACAAATTATCTCATTGCTTTACCACAGTAATCTTACAAAATGTATTATGAAATATAAAAAAGCAAATAAAACATCATTAACTTACTATTTTTCTATAAATAGTATTAAAATTAATTAAAAATTCTTTTCAGGCATTCTTGAAAAAAAACTCTTGAGGTAGCACATAATACTCCTTCCCTCCTCCTGTAGTATGGAATGCTTTCTACATAGCCTGCCCCTTGAACACAAATCGAGACCTTGTGTTTATAGCACTCTGCAGTATGTGTGTTTTTAGCCACTACTGGGAAGCTTAATTTGAGATTGTCACTCTGTTACAACACATGTTATTTTGTGACAAAAGACTCTGATGTTTGGAGGACACAAAATATCTTTTGTTAACTGTAACAGGGTGCTGGAGTGAGATTGAGTAAGAAGAAAGCTTGCTATAGTTTTCTTGACATCAATTGTATAATAGCTCACTCTTACTTTTTGTAAGGATCAAAGTTGATAGCATTTTTCAAATAGTGACAAACATTCCATTTAAAAAAGCCATGACGAGGGGCTGGCCCCGTGGCCGAGTGGTTAAGTTCGCGCGGTCTGCTGCAGGCGGCCCAGTGTTTCGTTGGTTCGAATCCTGGGCACGGACATGGCACTGCTCATCGGACCACGCTGAGGCAGCATCCCACATGCCACAACTAGAAGGACCCACAACGAAGAATATGCAACTATGTACTGGGGGACTTTGGGGAGAAAAAGGAAAAAAATAAAATCTTAAAAAAAAAAAAGCCATGACTGGTAAAGTTCTTACTGTTCATAAATAGAAAAACGTTGTGAAAACACATCAAAATTTACTTTCCAATCAAGTAATGATGAATTTGTCTTACAAAGTCTATGATAAAACTCTATGTTGAAATCCAAGTAGTACTTTGATAATGTCTTGCCTCATTAAATAATATTCCAGGCAGAACAATTGTTTTAAATTTCTCTATAGATGAATAGTGTTCCAAAATATTTTAGGTTTAATTTCTTTAATTTTTCCATATTTGTGCTTGATTTTGTTTTCCTTAGTGATATTTTAGTGTTTTCAGTGAATAGTAATTTATTTCAAGGAAAGCCAGTATAGGGCATATAGATAATATAAATATACCTATTTTTAATGACACACCCCAAAAAACTGAAGTCAGGAATGTGTTTTTAAAAGTCAAATATATACTCTTAAATTTCACATTTAAAAGTTCCTGTTACATTCCTAATCAAAAAATGGAGACAGATTTCTGGTTTGAACAAACTGGAGTAGAATCAGCTCTGTCTATTTCTGCCACTTGAGTACAACTTAAAATCCTGGATATCACATATAAAAAGAACATATAAAGACTGGAAAGGTAGAGATAAGAAGGCAGATCAGCCAAGGAGCTGAGAACCTGTGCAAAAACATAGGAGTGAGGGCCTTGGGATTTCTTTTTTGCCTCGTATATTCTGGGTGGCAGAAACTTTGAATCCCTCCTTTCTCCTATTTTCTTAAATGATCAATTAATCAACTTAGTTTCTTTAGGTGTTTATTTAATTCATTAGCCGTAGTGAGTTCTTCCTTTGGCTCCCTGTTGTTTTGATTTAGTTTTAATTTGGCTTCTTTGTTTCACTCACAGTGTTACATTAAAGTCTTAGCAGAGATACTAACAGTTGTTTAAAAATCAGTCGCTGGTTGTGGATTTGAAGCTGGTATGTGAACAAAAGACATTGGCTAAGATATTGAGACATTGAGTTTCCTCTCCTTTCTTCACTTTGTATACTTGGTACTGCTTGCACTTGGGGATATGAGAATGGCAGCTTGGGCATTGGATTCAAGTTTTAATATCCCCTCTCTCTATACTGATAGAAACCAGGTGTGGACCAGCCTGAGTGAGGGCAGCACGTTGTTCTCTAAAGAATGTTCCTACTCTCACATCTCAACAGCAGTCCTGTGGAACCTGGACATGCTTGTTTTGTTTTTAATTTGAGATGTTTGATGTATATTTACTATTTCAGAAGTAAACCCATAGAATACATCTATACAAAAAAATAATGGAAAAAATGGGGTTAGGGTAAATAATGTTTATGAAAAGCAACTAAAGAAATAACAAAAGCTTAAATTTTCTATTTCCTGAGATACAGTGTCGATGATTGAAGCTCAATTAATATATTCTTACTTAATACATAATTCTGAATTCTTAAACTTATAAGTCAAATCTCCTCAATCACATGCACGGTCTCCCAAGGCTGCAGTCTCCGTGTGCGCCAGGCTGCGCTCTCATCCAGAGCTTGAGGTCTTTTTCCAATTTCATTTAAGTCATTGGCAGAATCCAGTTCTTTCTGTTTGTAGGACTGATTTCTCCATTTTTATGTCGTGTGCCAGCCACCAGTTGTTCTGAGCGCCAAGTGGCTGCCTTCTAGAGGACTTAGGCATGTGGCCCTCTGCCAACAAGGGAATCTGTTCCAGGTGAATCTCTAACCCTTTGTAAGAGCTCCCACCTGACCAAGTCTGGCCAGCCAAGATAATCTCCCTCAAACTGGGTAACTCAAAAGTAAACTAATTTGGGAGATTATAGCTGCAAAATCCCTTCACCTTTGTCATCTAATGGAACCTCACTCCAGGAGTTAAATACATCATAGTCACAAGCTCAGCCCACAATCCCAGGGAGGGGATGATATAGAGTGGACACTAGGGGGAGGGAATCTAGGAGCCATTCTGGAATTATTCCTACTGCAGCCAAGAAGCTTATATTCTATTTTAGGGCTCTCAATTTGGCTAAGGTTCAGATTTCTCTGGGAAAATTATTAGAAATCTATATTCATGGGCCTCTGTATAAATCTGAAACAGATTCAGAATCAGAATATATCTACTATATCAGATGTGTGTCTGATGAGCTGTATAAGAAACTCTTACGCAGCCAGCTCCATTTCCCTGGAACTTCTCATGATAATCAATGTTCTATAAATATGACATCTCACCTGGCTAACAATTTTGTTAAAGTTTTAGAGTATTTTCAAAACTACTATTGAGTTCACAAGAAGACAAATAACATAAATGGGATCATTAAAAATTAAGTGGCAAAGTCAGAACATCATTCTAGCATTTAGGATTAGCAATGTGTTTCTCAGGCCTTGATTTACAGAGACCAACTCCTCTCCCCCAGTGTAAAACTGAGTTAACAGCTATGTCTCATTGAAAGTAGGAATTACTTCTTTGCATCAAATCAACAGGCTCTTCTTCACAAGGAATGCTTTTAAATATTATCAATAGTTTAAACTTGGAGTCTAATTCTAAAGGCTGCAATATTGGTAATTTAGATCTAAATGCCAACTACTGGCAGATGCAATTTTGGTCAAATTACTAAATATCTTTTTGTACTTCTTTTAAAGCCAATTTCCTTTAATTGTGCTCTGTAAAACTTAGTCTTATGACATTAGTCATTTGGGAAATACTTATCTTATTTCCCCTCTTGATGATTCACAAGGCTTTGAGTTACTCCTAGAAACTGACAAGGAAATGTGGCAAAATTGTATGTGAAATAAGTGTCAATGCTTTATGGAGAAAGTGAATAAATTTCAGGGTACAGATTTTATTGCTTCTGTTTTGAATGCTCACAGGACTTTTTATTTTTGCTTTCTGCATCTAGACTACTCTCCAGAATGTTGAGATTGCCAGAGGAGTGACCTCTGAAAAAGGAAACTATTGCTCTACCTAAATTCAAGTAAGACCATTACTTTCCAGTAAATTTTTTTGAATAAATTAATGAATAATTAATCCTTGTTTTCTCCAGTATTAAGTTTTATGAAGCCTCTTTATCTGGTCTAGAACAATATCAAACTTTTTTTTAAGTCTCCTAGTTTGGGGAGGGTAGCAGTACTCCAAACATATGCCAATGTTTACTAGTTAGACTGTATTTTGCATATCTTTCTACCATATATGTTTAAGCAGTTATATTGAATTTATGTTGTTCCTTTAATGAGCATCATTCATAGGAATGCACAATATAGAGTAGTTTAAAGGGGTCCATGACTCCTCATCAAGAGGAGAACTAGTGTCACACATTTCAGTGAGCTAAGGAATCCCAGAGAAAGTGTAGATATGCACTAATCCAAGGGAGGGCTTGGCAGAGTGTTTCCTAAAATGCTTCACAACATAGAGCCTAGGGAACTATCACATTCTTTGTTGTTTGTTCAGAAGGAAGGACAAAAAAATGTGAAATTAGTAAAATAAATCAAACATATTTTCAGAATGGGAGTGTGAGTCAACATAGGCAAAGCAGGTGGAGGATAACTAAGGTTTCTGAACTTGGAGCTAGGACAGGTGTTACTTTTAGAAGGACTCATACTCTGTTTTCTAGAAAGAGCAAAGCCACAATTTGGAATTGAAATCACTAAATCTATTTTCCTAATAAACTGTCACAGTATTTTCAAGTTTTTATTTCCTGGCAATGCAAGGACGTGGAGCATTGCTTTAGTGAGAATCATAAAACTCATTGTCATCTATTATGTTTAAATGAATGATAACACTTAAGGTGTATTGTGCATCTATTATTGTATTAAGCTATATTTAATTGTAATATTAAAACTGCAAGAATTCTTGAGTATATATATCTGTATGCTGTGAAACTCATGAAGTTCTGGTACTGGATGCATCCATGCAGATGGTCTATTAATGGATTTTCCAGACTGGGTTCTCTAGGATTATGGCAAAGTTTAGAGCTACTTAGGATTATAAGCAATTAGGTCTAGAGTTTTTCTGATTACTAAATATTCTATCTGACATGGAAGCTATATTGTGCTATACACTGTATTTCTCATCTAGAACACAGATAGGGATGGGTTGTTAATAGTTCATTTTCCTTTCTGCACCTAATACCAATCCCAAAGCTCCTGAATTCAGGTAGTTCTTTTCCTTATCCTTAAATTAAACACTCTATTCTCATTATTTGAGGTAACTCAGAAAATTCTAATGAACAAATTCCTAGGAAACAAAAAGAACACATTATAGTGCACCATAAATTCTGGATTATACCTGAGGATTTCAAATGAGTTTTCATAGCTGGACCTTTTTTCACAGAACTGCTCTTCCAATAAAACATCTTAGAGAAGACCAATAGATAAAAAAAATAAGGAGAAAAGAGCATTTTTATTGAAACGGGTTGGTGCTCTAGAACCGCTTGGTCTCTCTACCACTGCCTTTTTTGTTCTCTGAATCTGTTCCTCATTCCCCAAACCCCTACAAACCTTATGGACATTAATATTTCCTGGAACCTTGTGATTCCTTGGCTTCTCTGTCCTTCATTTAGAAGCCTATGTGGAAGAATTCACTGAGCAGAGACAGAGAGCAAACCATAGATGTGGGAACTGCCCAAATTATGCTGTGCTAGCCATAAATAGCAAAGTTATTGCTCTGCAAGTGTGTCGTTTATTACCTATTTAGAATTTCCCAATGTCAATTGTTTTCCTGTATGTTTTCACTTCGCCATTGTGCAAAGCCTACTCTATGTGAGTTCAAAGTATCATACATTATAAATACCAACTAAAGCCCAACAAGCGTTACATGTTATAAATGAAGAACAGGAGAAAGGCACTTGTAAGGAGAGTAACGGAAATTCATTTAAGGGTGGCTATTCCCGTCCTCAAAGCACATTCTTCTGCCATCACAAAGAATAGTTAATACTTTGTAATTTTAAAAAATACATCTGCATGCATTTCAAACATTTCTTTATCTTCTTAGGTATGTATCTTTGCCTCCCACATTTGTTTGATTTTTGAAGTTCAAACTACTTTATTGACAAGAAAAATGTCTGAATCAATATTGTTTTGAGAGAGGATTAATGAAGAGGATAAATACTAAACATGTTCTTATAACAAATAGTCTACCCACCTTGCCTATTTTCTGATACACTGCGCACATGGAAAATTTAAAAACTATATGCTTCAGAATGTACTGTTACTGAATTTCTTATAGTCTCTGACCTGATCTGTAGAATTTTCCTTGTTCATCCCATGTTTTATTCATGCTCATATTTGTCTACATTTAAAGCTAGACTGGTTTCACCTTTGAGTGGAAAATAGCCCCATGGGCAAGAGAAAATTGGATGACCAGTGTGTGAGCTGCTATCCCAGTGGATTGCCTGCCCCAACTTTGTGCTTTCTGTCCTCCCTACTTGGCTAGAGGAGATCTCAGTCTTCCTGGGCATTTTCTTTTCCTTTTTTTTCTATTTTATTTTTTATTGAGGTTATGATAGTTTAAAACCTTGTGAAATTTCAGTTGTACGCTATTATTTGTCACTCATATTATAGGTGTACCACTTCATCCTTTGTGCTCACTCTCCACTCCCCCTTTCCCCTGGTAACCAGTAATCTGTTCTCTTTGTCCACAGGTGTGTCATTCTTCCAGATATGTGTGGAGTCATACAGAGATTGTCTTTCTCTATCTGGCTTGTTTCACTTAACATAATACCCTGAAGATCCATCCATGTTGTTGTGAATGGGACGATTTTATCCTTTTTTATGGCTGAATAGTATTCCACTGTGTGTGTGTGTGTGTGTGTGTGTGTGTGTGTGTGTGTGTATACACACCATATCTTCTTTATCGAGTCATCAGTCGATGGGTATTTAGGTTGCTTCCACATCTTGGCTATTGTGAATAATGCTGCAATGAACATAAAGGTCCATGGCTCTCTTTGAATTGCTGATTTCAAGTTCTTTGGATAGATATCCTGTAGTGGGATGGCTGGGTCATATGGTATTTCTATTTTTAATTTTTTGAGAAATCTCCATAGTGTTTTCCATAGTGGCTGCACCCGTTTGCATTCCCACCAGCAGTGTATGAGGGTTCCTTTTTCTCCACAATCTCTCCAACATTTGTTATTTTTTGTTTTGGTTATTTTAGCTATTCTAACGGGTGTAAGGTGATATCTTAGTGTAGTTTTGATTTGCATTTCCCTGATAATCAGTGATGATGGGCATCTTTTCATGTGCCTATTGGCCATCCATATATCTTCTTTGGGGAAATGTCTGTTCATATCTCTGCTCATTTTTACATTGGGTGGTTTGGTTTTTTGTTGTTGAGTTGTATGTGTTCTTTATATACTATGGAGATTAACCCTTTGTTGGCTATATCATTTGCAAATATTTTTTTTCCTGGGCATTTTCTTATTGCCAGAACAGGATTACTGCAATATAAATACTTAATATTTGAATGGGTAAATTTTATACTATTTCTGCTTTCCATGCTTGAGGTTGTATGAGGCATCTGAGTTTGTACTTTGATTAGTCTTTCTGTGGTCTGTCCTCTCTTTATGTTACATATTGCACCTGCTTATAAGATGCAACTTCTATTGCTCCATTTGCCACCAGAATTGTTATTCAAATTCCCAATCGTTTCAGATGTTAGAGTTACTGGCCTCACTGATAAAATATCTCTATTTCAATTTTTGCTGACTGTGTTGTCTATCATGGATTAAATGACCCAATTATTAAACACAAAGATGTGCAGTCTTAAGCCGAAGACTGACTTCATATTCTAGGCAACTTTCTTAATGTTTTCTGACTGTGACCCACACTCCATCTGCCTTGCTTACCTCACTTTCGTTTTGGTTTTTGCTTATCAAAATATATTCCATGAGAGTTTGAGGGAAGAAATTGTAGTTTCTCTTTGTAACCCCAGATCTACCATCATGGCAAGATATATGGAGCCCCAATAAACATTTCAAAAAATTAATAAATTCATGAATATGTTTCTGGAGCTGCATTCTGTGCATATCAAAGACTTTCTCTCATACTTGAGAAAAGTCATACTACATTGAAAAAAAAATCTCTCTGATTGCTCTCCTTTCCATCTCTCAGTCAGTATGAGTGAATTTCTGGTAGCTCTCTATATTGTTTTCCTTTGTCAACAGATTAATCTCAGCTACTTTAGTCTTGGTAATCTCATCTCCCCTTATTCTGGAAAATCAGCCAAGAGAAGGTTGAATAATTCTGGTCAGGTAAAGACTATTGGTAGCCTCTTAGTGCTCAAAGTATAGTCGTGTATTTGCGTGTGGCTGTGAAGAAGATTCAAAAGAAAACCTTTAGGTCACGATCAGATACACATGGTGATAGAGAAAACAACAAAATTTCTGAAAAGAATATCATAAATATTATCACTTTAAAAGGAATATTCCTGAAATAGCTCACAGTGTTCTCATGAAGCCTCTGCTACAGTCAGTGCCTCATTTCCTAACATCCCTGAAAGTCTCCCCCTCTGCTGCATGCAGGGCTGTCTTCAACACAGCTTCCATTATTCCCACAAAGGAGGAGCCATGGCAGCTACAGTCCTGGTGCAACCAAACTGGACCCAAGTTGCCTGCTTAGAGATACTGGTTACGCCACCAGAAGTAAAGAGGTTGCAAGTTCACTAGGCAAACATTGACCAATGAGACAGGAGCAGAGCTGGCTTCATGGGAGGAAGAAATGTGCAATCACTCATTCAGGGTTATTATGCATAGAGAGGTCTCACACTTATTTAATCTGCATTAAGTTACTCTTTGTACTGTAAAGTCCTATAAGTTTTGACAAAAGTGAAGTGTCATATAGTTACATATCATACAAAGAAGTTTCTCCACCCCCCAAAATTCCCCATGCTTCAGCTACCCAGCTCTCCTCTCCTCCTTCTAAACTCCTGGAAACTGCTGATTTTTTATCGTCTCTACAATTTTGCCTTTTCCAGAATGTC